AAAAGCCGAAAGAACTCTTATAATAAATAGATACATTTGAATATGTCTAATCGATGGTGGTACCGTTTAGGTTGTGTCGATGATCCGGAGATGCAAAAGGGATTTTCAAAGAGCACTACTTGAACGCATGACCATAATATTTTTTGCATCAATTCTTTCATCTAAAATTTGGTACATGCATCTTATCTACTGCTGAATGTGTGCGGTACGAACGCGCAATATGGTTCAAAAACGGCGAAATCCGTGCAGCAAAAGCCACAATGAAAAAATATGACATACCTAATTGGTACCTGAATTATCAGCATGGTTGTGGGGAATTTTGAAGAAGACATGTTTTGAAAAAGACAAAAATTAATCACTTATGCAAATAACCTTGGCGTTCAAAAACACAAAAATACTAAATGGTAGTAGAATGAACATCACTATCCCTGTAACATTTGATCTTTTGCCTGTATTTAGCATGTAATTCCCAGCAACATTTAAAGTGCAACCGAAAACCTGTTCGCCCATGCACGAAAACTGCAGCATGTGATTTTCTTACGCATGTGCATAGAGAATCGGCATAAGTTATCAAATTTGATATGAACGTTTTGCTTTTGCTTGATTATTGGTTTGATGTCTACAAAGCCTCACAAGCTTATTTGCACTTGACTACCTGTTACGTTGAACTCGACCTCTTTTATTTTTGTCGAAACAACTGATGACGTCAATTCAGACGGATTCATTTTTCGCACTGGGTAGGGTGCTGATGCCAGCTGCCAAAATTCGGCAATCTACATTTGATTGCTGTTTGTAGGTCTACTAACTAATTCGATGTAGCTGATACCACCTAGGTCTGACGCGTATACACACTTCTCGCATACCGGATCAATATTAGACGTCAATACACGCCTTTCATGATATGCGAACGCTATCAGCAAGTTCTCTTCCTCGTTCGATCACCCGCTCTTTCCTATCCATTCAGTTGTTGCCGTTTACTCTCGTGTGGTGGAATACCGACCGTAGCCGTCTGATGCCCAGCTGTTGCTGTATAATCGAAATGTCTGATCGGGTAGGATCACTACAGTTACTTCTTGTTTACCATGATGTGGTGTATTATCACTCCACCGGTCATCTTCTATCGTTGATTTGGTACGGCTGCCGACAAGTGCAGCATGCTTTCGTCTTCATCAGGATGTTTATTTCCATTGGTTGTCATCAGAAAATGTTCAAAACTTGCGAAACACTGTTATGCGGACGGGTTCCTTCCGGTGAGCGACTCCTGTCGTAATTCCTACTTCTGTTGGCCACCGCTTACAAGCAACCAATCTATCTCAATACGAACTCCATTCACTTCAGTGGCACCCACCTTCCGGGATGCAGTTCAATAACAAAGATTTTGGTACAACTTCGAAGCTTCATTTCAAGCTTTTGACCTAGACGGAAAATCAGTCAGATTGTTGTCCTTCCACGGAGAAGCAAAGCAGATATTAACTGACAGTGAATACTTCGACGTACTACTCGACCATCAAAAATGCTGATAGAACGTTGCAAATGGAAGCTGTTGGTTATGAATTTGGCTCATGATGGTGCTAGGTGAATTTTGAGCATGAGTAAACCATATTTTCATCAGCCTACCCAATTTCGGGTTCACCACGGGTTCTGCACCCTCGAGAAACGCCGCCCCCGGAAATTGTCTCCCCTATGTCCGGCCTGGCCCGTCACCTGGGCTCATTAAAAACATTGAAAATCCGTCAACCTTTAGTCCACCCGCCGTTTTTAGAATAAGGGGAACGATCCGCTTTCAGGTTTTATTCCACTTGCTGAAGTGGCAAAACAGCTCTTGTATCAATAAGGCAGCTGTCCTTTCTCGTCTATCTTGATAACGGCTGTACAGTATCCTGTGTCGCATCACTAATCGCAATCCACCCGATAGGAGTTTGAAACAAGGAGTTATCACTTACGGGTGACTAGACGTGGCAACATTGACACCTCCAGCTTTCAAAAATGCCACAGTTGTATTACTGATTTATTCAAAGGCGTCTCATGGATTACACATCTTTGGTTGCAGACTGTTTGACTAGTTTGCTTTCTTTGGTTGAATCTGCAGTTCTCACACTGAAGAATACTCCCACGCTTCCTGCGGGTGAAAATGTGTAGCTGTGCTTTAGACTGTTGCAGTGCCAGATGCATCAGCTCCTCCACACGCATTTGGCCAGTTGTTCCCGTTGAACGTGACTGTCACTAAGTGCCCATTGAACACCTTAAGAGGACTGTTCAGATTATTACTTTTGGCACCATATTGCAAATTATAATTTAGTTCCCATTCCGGCCGTCTTGAATCGTCCTTCGACTCACTGGAGGTAAGCCAAGGATTCTGGTTCTGCTGAAAGATCTTCCTTTGCGGCCTCTCAGTCTATTGTCTTATGACCCATCCTGGTCATATCAAAGGCCTACCTCGATCGATCTGTGAGTGGTGTCGTGCATACCGCCAAACTACCCGAGTCCGTTTCCAGTCTAGCAGCCTCTGCAACGTCCTTAGTGTCCTACAGGAAGGATAGTTCATCACCACCCTAAACTTCATTTTGCTACGAGATTTCTATTCGGATCCCGGTGGCAGCACCAGATGAAACGAAACAAATCTCTTGCTACAAATTAGTTAATAAGTGACCATCAACTGAGCAGTTAAAAGCTACAAGTGGGGAATCTGAACGTCTCATACACACATTTTTGAAAAACTTTCTTCGAAGATTTTCTTATACGCTTCACTAAACTTTCAGTGATATTTGTTCAGCAATGCCCAATAGTAAACAAGCACCATAAAGCTCTTCCACAAGTTCCGCAATAAACTTCACCATTCATTAGGCACAGGATGGAGCATCGACACAACCACATACGAGATGCATGAAGGAAATGCAACATGTCATTTATATTGGGTTCTGCTGCATCGACCGGTATGTATTTTCTCTTCAAACGTCCGTTTTTGCTAAGAATACAGCGATATCCAGAACAAACGATTATGGTCTTTTGGGTAAATTTGCGAGCATTTCTGCGGAGATGATTGTTTTTCACACAAATGTGAGGCAGCTGCGTATTAGTGTAGAACGCGATACATTTAGGTCGAATGCATCTATGATGCAAAATCTGTGGCTTGTTGGCGTGCTTCAAATTTATAAAAGTTGTGATGTTAAATGACTATTAGATTCGACCTGTTTGAGAACTGCTGAAAGAAAATGACACTATCTTAGTACTGATGTTTTATGGGGCACAATAACATACGGCACGTTTAGGCAGTTGTATGCCTAAATTAACAATCATAAACACGATAAGCGTGCACCATGGTTTTAATTTCGGCTTATATTTAAACAAACCTAACAAGGCGCTCTGTAAGAGATAATTAAAAAATGGAAATAATAAACACAAAACCTTCATATGAGACTTCCAATGCTTCCTTGACTTTAATTCATTAGCTGTCCATCATATATTATTTTCCGACTTTGAATCTTGGCCGGAGAATGTGAGCAGTCAACTGTTTACTTTTGGTAATCGCATGAAGGTCTGCATGCCCTGTTGGATCATTCCTTCTCCATGTTTTTTGAATACATGAATTTAGGACGTTGCCTTGAAATGTTCAATTTGACATTTTTCAACGAACGTTTTTGCGCTATTTTTCGCAGAAAAAATAGCACTCATTGCCCGTTTTCTTACATTGAATCCAAAATTCCGCGATAAAGTGGGACGAATTCGATGATAATGTACACAGAGTAAGAGGTATTTTTTGCCGTCTCCTTAACGTTACAGCGCACTCATACATGGATGTTATCTGACAATTTTAACGATTTTAAAATCGACTTTCCAATAATATTTCGGAGTAACATTCGCTGATATATGGCATACCTTACATGGAATACAGTGTAGGTTTCAAGCACCGTCGAGATTCTTACTACAAGAATCACAAACCTACCTGAGTGTTATTTTGCTTATCAAGCTCAGTCCAACTCCTTGTGTGTGTTGCATTTGCTAGGTAGAGTATTGTAGGTACGTTCATCAACCCACATCGTTGCATTGGTGTCAATAACAAAACCTAATCCACAAGAGTCGAATAAGGTTTTTGACTCACATGAATGCATTGTGCAATTTACAACAGACGGTATTCATGAATGTCTCTGGGTATCGGGGTGCGATTTACATCTCCACATGCATCGAAAGTTGGGGCGTGTTTCCAATCGAACGGGTTTTATTTGCTGTACGATGGTCAACTAATCATGCAGACTCTCATCTTCCACACACAGTTCTAGTATAAAATAGTTTCGATTTCAAAAACGCTGTGCACTTCAATATGCAACTTTTCAAATTGTTCATTACGTCTGTTATAATCTGCGTGCCTGTTATAGCCGAACCTACTGTATTCATAGACTGCGGTCAGTCATATTATTATCTGTTACATTTTTATTATCAGGACGCGTTACGTTCGGCGCCCGCTATAATTAGTACAGGGTCAATAAATTTCTCACTTGCACAGGGTATATGGTCTATGGCATTTCCGTTCCTAAACTAGAGATTATTATGGCAATACTGTTTGATCTTACGGAATTTTCCGCGAATGACTAGCTAGCTGATTCATTTGTTGCAGATTTCGATTCATGGCTGTAAGGCATTCTGCTAAAAATCACGACGTTTGGAGAATCTTCAGCAAACCCCGCCGAAGATTGTATTTCAGCAAGCCATGAGCACACGAGGGGTTCAGTCAATCTCAAGAATGATTTCGACACAAACACTACCAGATAACATATTTTTTAATAACGCATATTGAATGGTTTCATATCATACAGAGGGAAGACTGTCAGTCACCTGCGTCTTTTCTCAAAATCAGACTTAGTTGGCAGGGAAAAATATGTTATTCGATAAATAAATCTCCTTCTCTAGTGGATTATTCCCGGCTGAAGTCGTCAGCGACATTTGGGTGCAGAATTTTTAAAGTGACAATGTTACATCGGTATTTCTTTTCCTTATATATAGGCTCAGAATACGCCAAACCGCTATCAGTGTCGATTACGCCATGCAACACTTACTATTGCGTTCTACAGAGGGGAAAACCTACCACCTTTGAAATTACGTTTCAAGCATGTAAGTGTTTGCATTGATTGCACGTTTCTAGTCGTGTTTATTCTATCAGCTTTTTGACTTGCTAGATTTGTAAAAAATACTTTGTCGCATCGACAGCCTAAAAGTTGACAATATTTTATCGAATGATATATCAAGTACTGAGCATCCTGTGTAATGTGTGCCACTGGTAGCCACGGCCAAACAGCACCAGCTGATATAGATAAACTGCATCTTAAAATATCTGATGAGATGTCATTTAATTTATAATTCGAAAGTATTTTACCCCATTTATTGTGCCATCTATTTTCAGTTGATGACCTTGAGGCCGCAGGTGTTGAAGTGTCCGCTATATTTAAAACTGTCATGATGTTGGTAACGTTTCCAAACGCAAATGTGTGCGATCGGCTTAATCCACCTTGCCCGATTAGAGCACGACAAACATACACTTACAGCTACACAACCGCGATTGCAGAAAGCTTTCCGCTTGTGAGTTGCATTCTTTTTGAACTTCAATGGTTATTTCGATAATTCGCTCTTTTAAGATAGGATATGTCATTTGTCAGGTCTGGTTGTTATTCTGAACAGCTTGTCATCATTCAAAGAAAATCCGTAAACAGGCACTAATGAAACGGGCCGTAAACGCAAATTGCTTCATTTATCAAATGGTGAAGCCGATTTCTGCGTTCCTTGAGTTTAGAGCAGGATGAAGTTTTAGAAGCAATCAATTATTCTTGAATGATGGAACAAAATGCAATCCATCGTAGTGCAAGTCATGACAAAGGCATTTTGTGTCATTCGTTTGTATTAGAAATTCAAGCCTAATGGGGTTGTCACCGGTAATTCCAATACAAAATTCAACACGGCATCCGTGTTTTATGCCGGAGAAGATGAACGTATACAGTATGTTTGAGATTCTATCATTGCAATGGAAGTATTGCTATTGTAGAAAACGAGGCATTATCAGGTTTAGTATTAAGCTGGTGAGCATAATGAGTTTGAAGCGAACCATGCTGCATAGTTATTAACGTTCAGCTCTATTTGCCACAATCAGTTTCGCAACAGAGTTTGAAAACTTCTATGTACATCGCTCTGATTCCAAACGGGTGACAGCGCCGACTTAGTGCTGTGAGGGTTACTAGGCATTTATCCTATTCTGTTTTCCGGATTGATGCCAGCTTTTGCAGTAGTTGTGCCAAATTACTCTCCACTGGATAGCTTGCGCAAACAAATCTGCCGTACTTCGCTAACTTGATAATCCCATGCATAACCCGTCAAATTTTATCTTTTCAGGATCGCTGGGATATTCGGTGGGAAATGCACTATGGAAAATTCAAAATGCCATTCCTCTGTGTGCAATTCTGGGTGCGAGTCACCTAGCTTACATCTCTTTCAAAACAAAATCTTGGAGATAACACGCGGACAAATCAAACCACATTTCCATATCCATCATTGCCCGTTTTGATCTGTAAGACTGATGGCAAATATATTGGTTGCTCATTTGAGTTGATCTAGAGGGATTCAAATTGGAATACAAATGGACTATGATTTGCTCAGCAGCATCGTCGGATTTGGCTACTTTGGACCCACAAATAAGCCAGGAAATCAATGCTTTATTTTAGAATAAATTGATGTAAACAGACGATTGGCTTCGTTGAGTGCTTCGATAACATGCAGTGAGCTCCGTGATAAATGTTGTTCCGGTCTCATACCTGTATCACATCTTTTTGGGTCAAGTTTGGTAAGCGCAGGGAAAATGTTCCTGCATTATGTGTGCAGTTGCGAGCCAGTCATCATTTTGAAACTGGACTGAGGGCGTTAGGACCAATATCTATGCGACGTGGCGCTTCACAATTAAATTTCTAACGTATTTGTTATTCATACTTTTGGTTGGATTGGACATGGTGTTGGTTGGATTTTGCGATGCTTTATTACGCATAAACGTGGTTTGCGAAATGGGGCTTGAAACATATCTGCATTCTTCCAATTGTTTGAACTATACAGTAGCTAAAAAAATTGACTGGAAACCAGATAAGATTACCACATGCCACTGTCATGCATTCTGGTCAGTATAAGGTAAATAGGCATAGTTATTCTTTATTTTAGTACTACCACAATATTTAGTTCGTCGTTCTAAGAAACATCACTGATGCTCGAGGTAATGGTAACTGAGTGGGCCGGCAGACCCTTTTGAAATGAAGCGCAACCATCACTTGAAATATTTTATTTTGACACAGGCACGTGAGAATGCTTATGCCTGACGAAATTTAGTAAGGAAGTAAAAACCAACGATACTGCAATGCTCAAATAGATTTTATTCATTAAGCTGTTCCGAGATTCGAGGAATACCAGAAAAACCACAATACTTCAACTCAAAATATTATTTTCTGGAGAACTTCAAACTTAAAGATTAGAGAACACAGCAGTTAGAATGTTATTAAGACATGAGGAATAATTTTTCACGTTAAGGCAGTCTGAGCAGACTTGAATTCCTTAATAACGCCCAGAAATGGTATTTGAATCATATCTGAGAAACAATGTGAGCGGAATATCAGTGCTGTAGATTTCCCGTTCAGACGCAAATAAACCAGCCCCTCGGAGCTATCAAATTTATCGCTCCCCGATAAGCCCGACTTTTAAACAACAAATGTCATTCGGCTACAAGGGCAACGGTGAACTGAATAAAATCAGCTGCCATAGTGATGAGAAGGTTCATGAAGTTCCCAGGTGGATCATGGGAAGTGGCCAAAATAATATCCAGAAAGTGACACACAGAAACAGTGTGATATGAATGATAAAAATTCACTTAAACTGAAGACAGCTGTGTGGGGTGAACAAGCTAGATTGCAAGCTTGGAATAAAACGAACAGTTTCAAGCAGTCTATATGTTTGTGGAAGTATGACATGTATACCCTAGTACTAGTGTCTAGCAAAGCAATTCCTACTTCTGGTGCGTTGCATATCTCTACCATGCCCAGAATGTCAGAAATTTAGACGTTCAAAAAACAACGCTTCCTACACCATTGAAATTACCTGTGCAGACTTTGAAACAGTGGTCAACTGATAAAGGAAAGCTGCATGGAAATTCGAAATGCGCAGCACGACTCATTGCTCAAAATATCTTAGTAGGAATATTTACCATTCGTCTGAATTCGGATGCTCTCGTTTGGTTATTGATGTGATTCATTGTTTTTCTTATATTCCGCGAAATAGTAAAAGCAAAAACGTAGAACACCAGTGTAAATTTGCTGGTTCTTTGTGAGTGAACAACGAGTTACACCAAACGGACAGCAAAAAAGAGATATCAAAAAGGAACGTATAGTTACGAATTAAATTCTGGACGACACTTTTTACATGTCGAACATCTTTACTGTTCGAGCTCGAGATATTTCAAAATGACAAATCGCTCAGTTGAATTTCTTGTTGACCTATCATACCGCAAAGATCGCAGTAAGTTTCACAGGGTTCATGGATTCCTGGAATAAATTCTTGGGAGAAGACAAACAAGAAAATTGGGTTCCTCTACGGTGTGAAGTTGCATATCAGGGTGGTTAAAACTGTGGTGGTATTGGGAGGGTTCTTTCAAGAAACCTGCGTGTTCATTGCGGTAGAAACTTTGGTGTTATGTCCAAAAAGAAAACTGGCTTGAATTTGTCGGATACCGTTACCATAAATCTTGATTTCTCAGAGGTTGGCCGGCAAATTCCTAAATAAACACAATACCAATAAATCTTGTCATGAACACGGTGTGGTCCCCAACATATCTATTGTTAGTGGCAGAATCCCGATCCAGATATCTAACTCTCATCCTCTGTGACCAGTCTCTGACAGGTCAAACGCCCCATGTCAAGTAGGACCGATTTTTGAGCCGTCAGGTCAAAAGATGAATTTCAAACGGTCCATGCCAGCAGCTCACTGTGCTTTGGATTTAATTCAGAAGTAAAAATATATTTTTTGAATCAAAACACATTCAGTGACGAGTTTCCGAAAAGGATTCGATTCAAAGGACCAAATTAATGTACAGCTATCAGTCCCTTTCTTTGAACTGGGTATTACTAAATTAACATTCGCCACAACGTACCTTTGTTCTTTGACCACTCCTCAAGCGACAGTTTCAAAGCCATACTGATACGCTCTGCAGCAAGCCACTAAGCCCTTTCTTTTGGATGGTCACTGCCTCAAAATATTGTTTTTTCTGTTCTGTTTAGCAGTATCTGGAAAAACGTGACTCGTTCGAAGTGTCACTTGTCTGACTAAGTCATTATTTCTCTGTCAGGATCCACGAGGACCAGTCAAAGCTTGATCGTATACCTTGAGCCATGTGCAACAAACTCCGAATTTTCTTTTTTTTGTTTTTCGCCCTGTCAGCCCGGAGGTATTATAAATCCAAATATGGTGGTAACTGTGATGAACCGCAGCGCTTGGTGTGCTTCAATGGACTTAATTACAGTTTACATTTGACATTACGTTGTATAGCTGAGTGACTCAATTCATATCAACTTATCTCAATATATCAGGCATGAGCTGCGTTATACGGCAAGTCTGAGTGCAAAAAAAATACGCATGCATTGACGTTTAATCCAGGTGCTATAGATAGCTGAACGCGTGGATATCGCAATTAGGACAAACGATATGAGTGTGTTAATCAATTAAATTGGTCTTGGGCAAATCGATCGCGACGGCACATTTGAAATGGAGTCTCACCGTGAAAAAAATTAAGAGACTTCATTCGTATTGTTAGAAGTAAGTAACATATATCACAGTGCTTCACATATATTTCGGCAAATGGTTGACGATTTATGCACGAATTAATGCCAGTAGGTCGTATTTCCTGACCCACACGGGAAGTTATATGAGCGCTTGTACCCGAGATTTCATTCTTGAAAATGAGTGTTTACGCGATTCACAGGCTTCACGAAGGACATGCAAATACCCTGGTTTAACCAAAGCTATTTGAGTCTAAATCGCCTAAAATTCATGCAGCAGGCCAAATAAAAATGAATGTATGTAGAAACGGCGATCTGACGTTTGTTGGAGCAGTTATTTGGCACGCAGTGCTCTTTTTGAACAGCGACCGCTTCCCCGTTTGTACTGGGACATGTTTTGCATGTTCACAGTAAGCGCACTACCAAAGTTGGCGCAGATAGTTCGACAGTTGCATCAAAAAAACTGATTTCGCTCCATTGCCTGTTGGTCTGGTAGGCTAAAATATTGCTTTGCTTCAATATTTTGGAAGATGTTCAGCCTTTAATTAAAGATAACAAGCCCTTGGATGAGCGCGAGTACTTTAGAAGTGCAGGACTTATGAATATAGGTATGCATTCCATATTAACCGGTTTAAAGTCTGTTCTCTCCTGGTCTGAGGATCAAACACCTGCGCGTGGCCTGAACAGAATAATGAGGCATGTCACGGGTCTAGAGATGTGCGCTAATTACAAGCATCGTTTTCCACGTCTAGAAGAGAACTTTGCCAAAAATCAATCAGGAACGATCACGTGAAAACCCAACATTAAGCCAAAATTATCCCTGGTGGTTAAACTCTTAGGGAATATGCGTGCAAAGCAACAAAGCATTAATTTGCAATACGTTTGGCGATGCAACGCTAACCGCCATATCCTGAGTGGACACAAAATATTCCAATATCAGCATTTAACAGACGGTATCAGTGCATGCTTGTTCCAGATCATCTGTAGATTGATTAATTTTAACAGACTATGACAACTCACAACATCCACACGATGGATATTCACCTCAGTACCAAGTATAGGATTAGAGCAGTAGAAGGAGTGATACATATATA